ATCCATTGTTGCTGCTTCCAAAAATTATGCACATGGCAACAAGATAGCCCTCAAAATGCATCAGGCTAGTATGTTTCTGTGTGATATGTTTTTGCTCTTTTTTTCTTCACGTGTAGATTTGAGTATGTTGTCAGTGACATAAAATCATACTGAAAGCTGGGGAATAAACAGTGATTGGAGAAAATGTCTTTAAAGACTTTCAAGGAAATATGCTTGACACAATATGGTTTCGTAAGATGTTTCAGACAGAATGGCCTTGGTTGAAACATTCACGTAAAATATGTTCAAAAGTACTCCATTGTGTTCTTTTCTTCTCTCTTGTTAAGAGTTTCTAGTACCTTCACAATAGGCAGTCTCAGGTCAGCTCTTCCAACTGAGAATGTCTCTCTTTTCATTCATTCCTCCACTCTTCATTTCTCTGCCTCCTCTCCTTCACTCCCTCTCTCTTCTCCACTTAGTAATTCAGAAAGAAACCAGCAGTCTGGATGAACCCCGCGACACTGGGCCAGGTAATTATCTAATTGCTTAGTGTGCGGAGACAGGAACAGTGTGTGTTTGTGTGTGCCTGTGTGTGTGTGTGTGAGTGTGTGTGTGTGTGTGTGTGTGTGTGTGTGTGTGTGTCGGAGAGAGCATGTTTGTGGAGACGGGTGGCATGACAAGTAAAGACGGCGAGAGAAAAGTGAGACTGAGTGAGAGACTCGGGAGGAGGGTGGTGATAGAAGACAGAAGAAACAAGGCAGGAAGAAGAAAAAGAGAGGTACAGATTAAATGTGTCTCGATTTAATTAATTCCTTCTCCTTGTCTGTGGCCAGCGCCACGTAGGAGAGACTACTTTCATTTTAAGATGCAAGTTAGTTACCCCTCATTTCTCTTTTTCCTTATCTCAGTTCATTCCAATAATCCACCCTCTTCCTCATTATCTGCCTCTCCTCCCCTATCCTCATGTATCTTACTACTTTTACTGCTCCCCCTCTTCTCCCTCCCCTCTGTCTCTCTCCCTCCTTCATTCTGGGGCAGCTGCTGTAGCAGTTGGCAGTCTCAGGTGTGTGTCTGTGTGTGTGTGTGTGTTTCCCTTGCTCTCCAAACCCAATTCAATCCTACTATGAGAGTGGGGGCCCAGATCAAATAAAGCAGAGCACAGCTATTACAAGAAAACAGAGAAGGGGAAATCCATGCTCACACAGAGAGAGAGATAGAGAGAAAGAAGGGGGGACCTCTCCATTTACTCAGGTTGTTTAACCCTCTCAAGGATGTAACAGGTTTCTTACTACGTATGTGAAGTTTAAATACTTCTTGTATGTCTGACATTAAAATGGTATTATGCTAGCACGCTAAAACAGACTATGTATATACTTTTGACCCACATTGCTAGATTGACATAAATCTTTTGTTGTTAGCCTGTAGTCTAATGTCAAACAACAGGGACAGGTTCAGTTAACTTCATATTGAGCATATACCCCCTGGCATTGCTGGACATCTAAAGGCTCCTTTGAAGCTTTATTATAGAGAGCATTGCTGGGTTAATTGGTAATTTGACATCTTTAAGATTACTGTGAGCTGTTGCTGCAGGCTGCATTGGGTCTAACCATGAGCGAGTGGGTGGGAGTCATTTCAGTTTCAAATGAAAAAGAAAACTCAATCTCTGAAAATATAAAGTTAATATAAAGGTGTCAGATTTCCCTTGCAAGACAAGTTTATTCTTTCTCTCGGCATATAAAATGTTACAGCCTAGTTGTCCTAATGAAATCAAAGTCGAGCCTATTTTGCAAATGTGCCCCGGGTATTATCTGAATTTAAAGTTAATGTAAGAAACTTAATGAGCGGATCAGTGTGACACTTCCAGTCTAGTAAAAGCAGACAGAACGCTGATTTTGTTACTGATTTCTGTAAACTCTTTACAGTGCCACTGTCAGTGGAGCCTGAGCAGTAAAGCTGAGATTTTTTTTGTTTTATGCTTTATGCTTTATTTTACGGGTCTGTAATTTCAATACATTTCTGGATTCTTATGTTTCCTGGAAAGAAGTATGTAATTTGATACTAATTGTATGGAAACTGGAAATGTACATAAAAGAAAAACTCCAATAAACCCACGTAAGTATTTACTCTTTATTCAATTATTGTTGTAAATATAATTTTAGTTTTCCAGCAGCGGTAGATGGATACATATAAGAGTGACCGATTTTGAGCACATCCAAGCAAACTAGGAGCCGCATTAGCACCATCTCAATGACTCACATTCATAAGTGTATTATTCATGACTTGCTATGTTAGCTGTCTAGTAACATAAGCTTATTCTACGGTTGAACTCTCTTTAAGCCATGCAGGATACAGCATAAGGCATGTGTCAAACATCTTAACACACATGTCAAATCTAAGGTGATTGGATTCTGACTCCACATCCTCAACAGGCAGCTAGACAAAAATGGATCCATCCCCTATATAGAGGACTGACAGTCTGTATATGGTTCCCCCATTAACAGCTATTTTCTGACATGTGCTGATCACCACGACTTGCCGCCCAGCGTCATTGTTTGAGCTTCTAGACTGTCAGCCCTCCATCTGCTCATTTCTGAGGCTTTCTGCTCGGAGAAAGGCAACTGTCAACAGCGAATGCACAAAAGAGAGAGGAAGCAGAAAAGAAACAGGGAGTGAAATGTGTAATTTCCATTCAGCAAGACTGATGGGTGAAGAAAGGAGGAGACAGGGAGGAGAGAGGAGAGAGGGAGGGAAAGAAGGGCAGGGAGAGTTTTAATCTTTGTGAGTGAGAAAGAAGCAGAAAATCAACTTAGATTAAGAAAACTACTTTATATTCTGCATTTCTGTTTAATTATGAGCTCTTCTTGCATCCGTTTCCGTAAATCTCACCTTTCCTTTATTTGTTTCTCTCAGTGGCTCTACTTATTTTACACCCCTGCTCGCTACTCCTCTCTGAATTGGTACAAAGTTAAATTAATAAACTAATTAGCCTGCACTTCAAAACATATTTGTATGGTTATGAAGAGGGTCCCCAAGCACACAAAGTACCTCACAGCAAAATCTAATGATGCTGTTGGTGAGTCAAGCATAACTGTATACTGCTGTAGGGTAATAAACAAAAAACTGTTCAGTCAAAAGTAGGTATGCTGCAACTGGGATGAGACTCAGAACTTTTTTGAACTAATTAAACTTCTGAATGTTTGTAGTTTCATAAAACATGGTGCAAATAAATGTAGCCTGTAGTTTGTGTGTGATTTCTTTCCCTTACTTTCTGACTTGAAATACATCTTCCTTAAAAATAACACCCCATCTGAGACACTGGGAACAGTAAGCAGCAGGAGGCAGAGGATACAGGATTGGTCACAGCAGAGTGGAGAGGAGAGGAGAGGAGAGGAGAGGAGAGGAGAGGAGAGGAGAGGACTTCCATGCGACGAAAGGCAGGGATTGGCTTTCTCACTGTTCTCACTGTAAGCCCTTCTCTTTCTGCTCTCCCTCATAGGAGAGAATGGAGCTTCAACACACAGCTGGTGAGACGGAGATAAAGGACTGACGGAGGAGCTTCAATAGATGCAGCGGAGGGTGAGGATACGGAAACAGAAAAGAGGAGGGAGGGAGAGGAGACTGCAAAAACTCAGCTGAGAGACATCAATGGGAGGGTCAACTTGAAGAATAGGAAAGCAAAGAATCAAAAGCTAAATCACATGAATGGAAGAAGAGAGGAGAGGGAGGAAGGAGGTTCATACGAGCCTGAAAGGTTTATCCTCTGGGCCACAGAAACAAACATAAACCCAAACACACATAAGCACATCAGTTCTTCTAACGGATCTACACTACAAACATAACACTGACAAAATTCTCAACAACTCCATACACAGAACAGTGTAACACAAAGCCAGGTACGATATCTAGTTTTTCAACCTGGCAGCAGGGGCCCCAAGAGGTCTGGGTCACATATAAATGTGAGAGGTCACAAGCTAATTTAAGGTATAAGAAAGAAACATATAATTCTGCTACACAGAATTAGGTTTATTTTTTCTGACTTTACTTTTTTCTTGTAAAATACTGGTCACTTTCTCTACGTCAGGCTATTAAAAATTCCACAAATTAAAGAATCAGTAGGGCATCCTGGTTGGATAGAGGTTTGAGGAGCTGACCAGGTCGAGGCAGGTCTCCCCTCATTCCTTGTTACTGAATAAATGACAAAAATGTCTTAAAAAAATGTGTCGGCCTGGTAGCTCACCTAGTAGATACTCTATATACCAAGGCTGATTAGTTAAACTCATATTCACAGTAAAGCCATAACTTTATTTAGCCTAAAAGGTTGGGAACCACTAATCTAGTTAATTTATTCTCAACGTCATAATGACAAATTGTTTTTATTATTACTAGAAGGAGAAAAGGTAGAGTCAGTTAAGTCTGCTGCTCTCTTAAGTCACTTTCACAGCTGTAGTTTGACTCCTTTGGTCTGGACGAAGGAGGACAAATCTTTAATTCTGGTCTGTTCTGTGTCCACACTGTCTTACTACTAATAAGGTGTAAGCATTAAGTTATTTGGACTGACAGTATCTAATTCTTTGGTCAGTTTTGTTGACCGTCATCGTGCATGGTCAGTGTTACATAGACTCATGTGGGAAACTCTAATTGTGGTGACTCACAGCCAAGACTGCGACTGGAGCTCGTACGTAATGAATAATGATTTAGAGACGAAAATAGAAGCGACTTGTACTATAATGTTATGAGGAAATAGTTACTATGTGGTCACTACGATTCACTGGTTTTTGACATAAAACAACAAAAAGGATGTTTTAACTCTTTCTGATTGATCGAATGCTTATGCATATGTGTTGCCATGGTTACCAAATGCTCTTGCATAAATATATACATCTCTTGAGCAGGCTTATAAGATCAATTCCTCAACAGTTCACACTCAGCTGATGGATTTAATAGTAGTCGTAGTAGTATCTACTAACACAAAACTCCACATTTGCCCCACTTTGGTGCAATTTCTTTGACTTCTGTCCTACCTGAGTAGAGGAGGCAGAGCTACTTGGGCGGAGTAGGTGGAGCCTGCTGCTCAGTTGAGAGCTGACGACCGACTGGAGCTGCAGTTCCTGGTGTGAAGTCTGGATCTCTCCACCAATGGGAGGGAAGCGTTCCGGGTGTCTGCGCCGTCTGTCCACGTCTGTCTATCTGCAGGTGCTGTCAGCATTCCCTACAGGGAAACACAGAGACAGAGAGAGTTTTAACACCATTTTCGAAGCGTTCCTTGGTCTTATTCTACACATCGGCAGGAAATTGTGTACTTTTCCTGATACTATTACTGCCTCTTCTAGCTCAATTATCACTGCATAATAACCATTACCTGCTATGCAATTACAATCAGCTTAACCTTCAGCCAAGTGTTACTTTCCACAAAACGATTTGCTTTCAGTTTTAATGGCAGTTGTGCAAAACAGTAGCTTATAAGAATAGTAAACTCATAGTGACTCTTCTGAGAGCTACAGGGACACTACGACCTCTAACAAACCCGCTCACTCATGCGCTTGCATCCAGGATGTATCGAGCATTCTAGTTAGCTCTCCAAAGTCGATTCATCTTTCGACACTTTCGGATAAAAATGAAAGTATCATAACATAAAACATACAAAGAAACAAAATTATTGTTACTTGCTGTGTTTTGCTGCCTCTTTAATGGCAATGATAATTATGTTGGATGCATATTCATTGAGATTGTATAAGTCTGTAAGACTGCAAAGCAAGTGAATCTGTTGCTGTGATTTTACATACTGGCTATCACTGTCTCCCTCCTATTCCCTCTCTCTCTCTCTCTCTCTCTCTCTGTCTCTCTCTCTCTGTCTCTATCTCTCTCTCTCTCTCTCTGTCTCTCTCTCTGTCTCTCTCTCTGGAGTATTCAGAACAAACACCCGTGCTATTTATACACTGACGCGCCATCAGCATGGCAACCACGCTTTGTTTACCCACATGAGACACTGGTTTGAGGCGTGTGTCCTCCCTTTTTTGTTTAAATAAAAACATAGTTATTTGGAGGCATTTAGGTCTCTTTCATGAGCTTGGCTCACTTTCTGGTGGACAATGTTTCACTTTGACCAAATGCCTCCGGTAAACTGGGAGCTATTATGATGAAATGAAAATCTGGTAATAGAACTAGCATTTCTGTGGAAACAAAATGTTTGTTGGTTTTTTTTCGTTGTTGTCGACGTTGTGGGTCAGAGCCTGATAGAGTTTAGATAGTAATTTCATTTTTATTTCAATACAAATGGTTATGTGACTAAATACTTATTAAATAACGCTTTATCATAGAAACGAACGTCAAACATTATAATAAACACTTTGGTACAGTGTATTTGTATCCTGTATTGTAACAATCTCACTTCTCCTTTTCTACTCTGCACATTCATCATTCAAGGGAATAAATGCTATTTTGAAGTCCCGTGAGTCAAAGGCTTATAGATCTAGCATTGCGCAAACTTCTGTTTACGATAACAGTGCAAAACATTTAATCCCAAACTACCTTAACCAGAAGACTACTGTATCAAGTATCGTCTAGGTGTGAATCTAACCGTATGAAAGTGTTGCAAGGTGGTCCTTAAAAGGAGTTAATCTTCTCTGGGTACATAAATGTTGTAAAATGCCTAATTTGATGCACAAGCACAGAGAAAAATGCTTGGTGCACCCATCCAATGCACTCTTCTCATTTACAGTAACCCTGGAGGCTGTAACCATAGCGACAAAGATATGTCCCAAGGTCATGGGGTGGAGCTGAGCATTAAGTTGAACCCTGAAACAAGGCATCGCCTTGGCAACTCAAAATCAGGTCAGTTGATCATGTGACAATGAGGCTTTGGGGATAGAAACTGATACTAAAGCACACTTTTTCTGTGTTTGTACTAAGTTGGCACAAAGTCAACACACATAAACACAGGAGCATGCAGGCATATGAAACATGTAAAACACCAGGTATACACACAAATAAATACATGCAGTATTTAGAGTCACGTACACACACTTACAAACCCAAGAGAAACACTTGTACAAGCAAAGACACACACACACAAAGAGTCCAACATTAAAACACTGATGATAGAGCTTTAGCAAACACAGCATAATATTTGTCTGACATTTTGTTATTGAAGAGACTACATACAATTATTATTATTATATTATTATTAGTCTTCAAGAGAGTGTAATGCTGTTTGCCACACATCATCTGCTTTAACTTCGTAAAATATTCCAAAAAAATCATTTAAATCAACTATCTGAAGATTAAAGCAGAAGACTAAGTAAACAAGATTACAAATATGACAGCCAGTGCCAGCTGTCTGTATTTGACAGTTTTCTGTACTCAGCGATAAAGACACACATTGGTCAAGTATTAAAGTTCTATTTACACAATGACTTAAAAACCTTTCAGTGTAGTGACTGCATGTCTGTATTAGCGGAGATTAACAGCTTAATTTGCATAGTAAACATGTCTAACCTGACTCTTAACCACCAGCACTGTGAAACTAAATGTTCAGACTGTAACTAAAACCTGAAAAAATATGTGAAAGGTTTGCAACAAGGATCATGAAAATGCAGGTTGTGAACTGTGTGTGTGAACAGGGGAGGGGGTGAGCTTAGTGTAACTCTGAGAGCTGATGTGAAGGCCACCAGACCAGAACCTTTTTCTTTTGCTAAAAAGGTACAAACTCTGAAATGTACTCAAAGTATAAATGTGCAGGTGCAGGGTCTAACAAGCCTGCGTGCACCCTGTGTAGTCCTTATCGCAGCGGCCCTGGTTCGATTCCAACCTGCAGCCCTTTGCTCCATGTCAACCCCCCTCGCTCTCTCCCCCCTTTCCTGTCTATCGGCATTGTTCCTTTCAAATAAATGCATGAAAAGCCCCAAAAATATCTTTTAAAAAAGCATCCTCTTGGTTTCACTGAAGGACAATTTCTACCGACAAAGCTAATTGAAACTTTAAATAGGGTCAAGTCTCCTTCTCTTGTCTGTTGTGTCTTTTACGTTAGTTTTGTTCATGTTACACCTGTTATTCATCATATGCTCCAGTCTTGATGTTGTTTTGAAAATGTAAGAAGTAGAAAGAACAGATATCTGTATAAAAATAAAAATGAATACTCAGGTACTTGAAAAAATTAATTCAATACAGTAACAAAGTATTTGTACTTTATCACTTTCCACCTCTGCACCAGACTAACAAAAGAGACACAAAATAAAACACACAATAAAGACTATTCACAACAGGAATACTGATACAATTAACACTGAGCATATACAGATACACGTAGCACATTAACTACATGCTTCTTAGAGAAAACTCATTCAATAAGTCATTAAAAATTACAACCACCAATAAAATAATTACTTCTCATCCCTCTTTCCACAATATATTACATTTTTTATCCAATAAATCATCGATTTTCAAATTGATTTCAGAGTTTAAATCAATACGGTGACAGAGCTTTCACCTGGATTCACCTTGTCTCTCTGTTTCATAGAAAAGCGTGGTTCAAATATTGTGAACAGTGTACACATACACACAGGTTTGTAAATACAGACACACATAACTGCAAGTTTTTCCTCCTACTCAGCAGGCCAGGATTCAGTTCCCTGTCTGTCGCACAACGCACTCAATAATACTGGCAGTGTGTGTGTGTGTGTGTGTGTGTGTGTGTGTGTGTGTGTGTGTGTGTGTGTGTGTGTGTGTGTGTGTGTGTGTGTGTGTGTGCATCACCATGTGCACCTATGAAACCATGCCCTGCCCCTTTCAGTCTGCTTTTCCATTGGTCTCCTGCCTGCTGTCCCTCTGTCACACATAGGGTTGGATACACATGCATGCACCTACACACACATTACACACGCACACTCAGAGACACAGCAAGCACAGCTGTCAATAAAGAGCACGGAGCCATAGGTGGGGTGTGTGTGTGTGTGTGTGTGTGTGTGTGTGTGTGTGTGTGTGTGTGTGTGGTGTGTGTGTGTGTGTGCGTAACGTGGAGCGGAGCAGAGCAGTATCTCTTGCAGGATTACACCCTGACCCAGCTTGTCTGGCTAATGCTTCTGTTACCATCGACAACATCTACACCAGTAGAACACAAGAAACTCGACTCTATAGCTATTTAGAACAGGTCATATTATGTTTTTCGTTTTTATATTAAAGTTTTACCTGTACATCTCTGTAACATTTCATGTCACGTCGCCTTCTGTTTCACACATTATTAGTTTTTTTGCTCCTATTTATGTGATTAAATTCATTAAAATCTGTCCCAGGAGACTAGGAGGGCACTCCATGCTCCCTTGTGGGCTTGTTTGGCTCCATAAGCATGTCCTTCCTTATGCTGTCTTTGTTCTTTATTTGTATGTTTGTATGTAGATGAATACAATTTATAAACCCTTGAATAAAAAGAATAAACCAAATGCACCAGAAGGCAACTGGCTTCAAAAGGGAATTTCACTGAAACTGACTTTTACTTGGCTATTCTGCAAAAGATACTCTGCAACAAACAAGCTGTTTTTCTGGTTTAAAATGCGTCATAAGTGTTGGCTTCCAAGGACTGAGGAAAGTGCAGCATTGCAAAGTTCTTGGATTGCACTGCAGGCTCTGGGTTCACTGGCTGCACACAGCAAGACAAGCAACTAACTGGCCAATAATAGGCTGTTTAGTTTAACACAACCCAGTCTGCACCAGCCTACGTCCCTTCATGTACACGAAGGGGTATAATTATCACCCAAATTATCAGAGAAGTGGAAAAGTCATGTACGAGCAATTGAAGCACCTCTTTCGGATAAAAGGCTGATTCATACCTGTATGAAAATCCCCATAAAGCACTAACTTGTCATAAAACATTAGATTACATGGGAACAATTCACACAAATGAGCCAGAACAAAATACAACAATGTATCATGGATCAAATTTAAGGTTGAAATATAATTCTGTCTGCACAATATTAGAAAAACATAGTCCCTCCCCTTTTTGCTCTGTGCTCCAATAACAGTTGAGCAAACCTCAACTGTTATTGGAACCTTTGGTTGTCTTTCCTATAAGACAACCACATTTTGAAGATGGTGAAAAACAAAAGTCAGATCTTAAATTAGCTAGCTAATGTTAGCAAAACACTAGCAAACTAATCTACATTAATTTTTGGCTTGCCAGTTACATTTGAAAGCAAATGTTTTGAGTTTTCCATGTGT